GCCTGTGCTTCTTTTCTCAAGCCTCCAAAGGGAACATGCAGGAGCTGCACCCACATGCAGGAGCTGCACCCACCAGCTGGTGTGATACCTGCTACAGCAGGTGGGCGATACCGGCCAGGGGTCAGCCGGTAGCATCAGGACCGAGCTTCTTCGATGGGCCAGCCACTGTGCCTCCCCTCCGGTCCCCTCCCCCTATGAGCATCAGCAGTCTCTGCTCAATGCCACTCGGGGGGACCAACGGCATATCTGTAGGTGGCGGGTGCCAAGCTTGCCCAGGAAGGTACATGAGGCCAATGGGGATTGAACCCAAGACCTCCCGGATGCCACTTGCGTGCCTTACCAACTGAGCTAGGCCGTGCTTCCAGATACCAACCGGGATGTATTGTTTGTTTTTTTAACTTTCTTTTTTGGAGGGGGGGAAAACTATGCGGAGTCACAAAACCCAGTTATAATTGCACTATGGGCCAAGATACAGTGTGCAATTGCACTTGGAGCACCCTACCTGGCCAGAGAGCAGGGTTCTATACATTGCCCAAACTGCAATTGCAAACTGCATCTTGGCCCATACTGCAATTATAACTCGTTTTTGTGATTCCGGCCTAGTTTCCCCCTTTTATTTTTGTCCCCCCTTTGAAACTTATCCTTCTTATATTCCAATGAAAAGGCGGAGGCCGGGGACCTCACAATTGAACTGAACCCCGGTTACCCTGGCAGGAAGTAACTAAGGGCATACTCACACGAGGACCAAAAGACCATAAATCCCAAATATTGAGTCAGTTTTCGGGTCACACTGGAGAGGCCCGCTACCCAAATGCCTCAAACAGTGACCCTTTTGTCAGCGGCCTGCGGGGGGGCGGGAGGACCCTTTTTGAGACCACCTCCAAAGGTGGTCTCAAATTACCTTTCAGTTTTTTCTTTTTAATGTTCGCGAATTGAAGAAAATCGTAGACGAAGAAGACAGCCGGCCAAACAACTGGAAGTGCGACCAGAAACGTTTACGTTGTAGCGAAGGCCCACGCGTTATACTGGCGTGAAAAGAAAAGAAAAAGAAAAATTCCATCTTTTTGTTTGGCCCTCCCCCGTGTGACTGGGCGCACTTGCCCTGAGTGCAAAGTGTCTGGGTCGTGACTTCGTCCTTTCTGGACGAAGTCCGCCCGTGTGACCACATGGGGACCAAGTGCCTCAAAAAACCCGAGCCAAATGCCTCAAAATTTTGAGACTTTTGGTCCCCGTGTGAGTATGCCCTAAGATGTGCTGATAGGATTAACCAGGGTGTATTGTTGAGGACTCCAGCCTCTAAGTTGCCTTAAAGGCTCGCCACACAGGCTGTCGATAGCTGTCAGAAAAAAATGAAAGTCGGTGGTCAACAGTTTACCCGCCCTTCGCCACACAGGCTGTCTTTGAGGGGCAAGGTGTTTGGTCATGTCCAAATGGACTCCGCCTTTCGACAGGGCACGGGTGTCATGGAACAGTCCCTGACATTGCAAATTCGAATGCAATTCTCTAAAGGCAGGTAGGCAACTTTCGGATTTCCATCTCCTGCAGGCGGAAGGAAACGAATGGGGGTGGGTGGCTGTAGAGCGTACCATTCTGACACCTGTCAAAAAAAATTTGAGCCGCAATTCTTTGAAAGTCTGTGTAGCGATGGAAAATTGTCGAAAACCTGGTTTTTGACAGCCTGTGTGGTGAGCCTCTTAGGAGCAGTGGTAGGTAGGTAGCGAAGGTGAATTGAAAGAATTTTAAAAAAGATTATGAAAAAGATTTGAGAGAAGAATATAGCGTAGGTTTAAAAAAAAAATTAAAAAAAATTGTTTTCTTAAAGCTGCCTTCTCCTCATCGGGGGTCGACTAGCCATATATTTTTCTCTCACCTCACATATTATTTTTTTTAACTGGCCTTCTGCCATGTCATCATGGAACACATCTTTCTTTCTTTACCTACCTACCACTACTCCTAAGGGTGTACAGGGGACCCCTGCAAGCATAGATTTTTACCTGTCTTCGGTGAAGGGAGGTTACATCTCTCGGTGGACAGAGGTAACGGCATGTTTGCGTTTAGGTTGCAGGGTTGGGGCCGCTGCTGGCGGACCGGCTAACACAAGCACCGAGCATTTGCCAGCAACTGTGCGTTTGAAATGGGAATATTGAATTTTTAGGCAAAAAAAGAAAAAAAAAGAAAAAAGATTTCCCTGCACTGCAGATTTTATTCGTGTACTAGGAGTAAGCACGTGCACAAGCTCAAGCAAAGGCGGGCACACACAACAAGCACAGGCACAACCAAAAGGACAAGCACAAGCACAAGCACAAGCACAGTGCCAAGGCCCAGTAGAGGTCAGCGGCCATTGGCAAGTCCCACTTAGGGGCTCGTTCGACACTCATCGGGCGCGTAAAATCCCCGAGGAAATCATCGTTCCACTTGTCCTCGGGGATTCCTCGGGCTACAGCCATTTCGACACGTTCCCCAAGGGACCTCCCGAGGTCCCTTGGAGGTCAAGCATCCGGAAGAATCGGGGCGTTGACGGCAGCTCTCTCAACGACAATTTTCGACGTGGCTGGTCCATTGCTGTTCCTGGTGGCCCGTGGACGGACATCTCCGGTTGGCAACAGTCGGCGTCATGGAATACTCCGCCAACGGTCCCCTTTGGCGGCCTGCCGTCCTCCGCGACGTCGAAAACGGGCTGCCGTGCGTCGCTGCCCTTCGGCAGTAGCGGGAAAGCACCCAAGGCAGATTCGAATACTTCAGCCCGCTCCCGCTCTCCCGATTGCACAGTGTGTTCCGCGACGGAATACATTACCCTGCTTTTGTCGGTAGCTGCGATCGGCCGTTTGCACCACTGACCCTCGCCGTTTCCTGGACGTCCACGGTTGTCTTCTACCTATTGGCGTTGCCCACGTGCGTTTCATGGCCGACGTCTTTCGGAGGCTGCCGCTGCTGGTGCTGGCCGTCCTCCTGCTCCTCCTCTTAGTTGTCTTCCACGTGTGCGTCCTCGGCATCCTTCCGCGACGTGGCCGCAGAAGACGGTCTTCGAAGAAGGACGTGAGTATGGAGGGGCGGCAGGGGATGTGCAGGTCTGCAGGGGATGAGGGTGGTGGCCAGCGGCCTGGGCAGAGCCCGTTGAGAAGTTCAAGCCCGTGGGAGCGGTCTGGGTATGCGCACCTGCCACCGCACTTGCAGCCTCTGCCGGACACGTCAGACGAGGAGGCGTAGGAGAGACGGTCACGGACCGTGCCGCTGGGAAGCGGGTCCACCCAGGAGTGGGCGGCTACGGAAGTCTGTGGAAGCCACGACGGCGGTTATGGCCAGTCGTACACCCAACTCCTCCAGCAGGGGCGGAGTGGTGACGAAGGCAATGGCAGCGTCAATCTGTCGTTCGGGTTTTGGGGGCGTCCTGCATGTGCGTGTTCGTCGCGCTTGTTGTTTTCTTTCGCGCGGTGCTGCTCTGCCTTCATTTGGTCGAAGACGGGTCACCAATCGCCGTGCCGGAGTGCACATAATCCATGGAGGTTACTAGGAGAGGAGTGCGGATCGGTTGTCGTAGGGGTTTTGCATGAAACTTTCGTTTTCTCTAAATGTTTATTATATATTTCAAACATGCCAAATCGATGTTCGCATCTATGAAAGCGAACATGTAATTGTGTTGATTTATATTGTTGACGTATACGTCGTGTTGTCGCTTCCTGTTTTGTTCCGCTTTCGTTTGCATTCACGATAGTTATGGTAAGGGGTACGTAACGGGGTCGAGGATGCTTGCTTGAACCGATGGTTGATGACAAAGTGAGGGATGTTCACACACGGCATTGCACATGTTGGAAGTAGAGATGGCAGTACAAATAACACACAACAACATCGTGCAATTATGTGTTTTTCATTCGTCCACAAAGAAGAAGACAAGACACTCAACATTTATACTCTACACGATACGTAACAAACTACATTGTTGTGTCTCGTACAAAAAAAAAACAGTGGTTGAAGACACACTTTGCAAAAAATAAACGCATAGAAGGCAATTTCAATCCAAAGTTCCGAAAAACAGAACACACGATGAAGACTCCAATACGTCACCCAAGACACGTCACCCGCGGTGACACCACACCACACGACAACTACGATCGGCACGTGCACGCGCGCCACGTCACCCCCGCCGACCATGCGCTGGATTGCGCCATCGCCATCAACCCCAAGCGCACACACCCTCGTCAAGGGCACGTAGTGCGAAACAAAACGATTACCAACTGACGACACACACCGCCCCTGCACGACAACCCACAGCGAAACAGACACCGCTGCTTCAACTCGCCAACGCCGTTAAACGGCCCGCACACATAACGACCCCAAGTAAAACGACCACCCCTTCCAGGACGGAGACGCCTCCCGCGTCGTCCTCTACGATTTTTCGTCTGCTCCCCGCGCCGCCCGCAACGATTTCTCGCCACAGCCACGTCATCGCAACCGACCGCTCCGCACGCCTGGCCCTGTTCACTGCGCACCCATCCGCTTCGCCAGTGCGTCTCATAGAATGAGTGCATCCCCTGTCGACGACTCCATACACATCGGCCTCACGGGATGCTCCATCCCAAGATCTACCCTGCGACGCACACCGTCCGGGCCGACCTCCCATAGTAGATTGTCGTCGAATGGGATGCCAGCGTCGATAAGTATGTTGTGTAGAATGCAGACTGCGACGAACTACTGCGGCAACGTCTCCATGTTGAACTTCGTCTTGTGGGAGTGAAGGAACAACCTCCACATCCCCTTCAGTCTGCCGAAAGCCCTCTCAACTGCTCCCCTCGCCGTCTTCTGCTTGTTGTCGAAGCGCAACTCCCACGGGGTTTGTGAGAGACCGCTGTAGGGGACGACTACCCATTCGGAGGGCGCATAACCGTTGTCCCCCAGCAGATAGTCGTTCGTCCGCACACCGAAAAGCAGCATGACGGGTGGCCCAGTGAAAAGTTTCCCTGCCTCTGCGCGCGCCCACAAACTGGACAGGTGGACGATCCTCACATCGTGGCAACTTCCTGGATAACCAACGAACACATCCAGCACGCGCAAGTTCAAATCGACGATGATCTACGCCTGGATGGAGAAACGGTGTTTTCTATCGTAGTAGTCCTCCCCGGGGCAATTCGTTGACTTGTCGATGAAGATGTGGGTGCAGTCGATGCACCCATGGCAGTTAGGGAAACCCTTGTCAGCGAAAGCTCGCAAGACGACCACCTTCTGCAGACCCGTCGGCCAGGATATCTTGTCGGGGTACGCACTCAGCAACGCCGTTGTTACATCCCGCACAGCCACAAACCCGGAAGATCTGCCAATGTCGAAGTTGCATGTCCCGCTCTCGTATGTCTCCCCCGACGCCCACCTGTACAAAGCGTACGCGACAATGTGGTCAGGCTGAAGCGGCTCCCTATAGAAAGTGGCACGCCCTTCAAGGAAGGGAGACAAAGCTTCCATGATCTCTCGGAATACACGTGGCGATATGCGCAGCTTGTCCTTGAAGTAGTCCGCTGTCGCGTCGTCGCATTGCCGAAGATCCTCCCACGCCCCTCCTGTCCGTCGCTTCATCCACCACATGGGCGTCGCTCTGGGGAATGCTCCACACCCCATGGCATAGCACACCTGCAGCACGGCGTCGCAAATGGCACCACTGTCCTCTCCCTCCACATTCGTGGACTGCAGCATCCTCTTCCGTCGTGCGTGAATGAACGCTCTCATCCTCCCCTCGCCCCTCTGCAACTGACACCGGAAGAGGATGGCGTTCACGGCTGCTGCCACCGCCATCCTCTCCGCCTTGCTCAGTGTGTCACGTCTCGTCCCCCCGCTCGTGGCCATCGTTGAAACTGGTACTGTCGACGTGGGCGTCACCAAGTGTAGAATACTCCATGTGTGGCGGGTCGCACAACAACGCTGCTGCGAGTGACGACCCGAGTGCACAGTGTATACGTCGAAGATCAAGCTCGGCTGCGAAGACGACAACGACGACAATCGTATGACGGTGTGTCTGCTGCTTCGGACGCGTACATGTACGTTCAGTGTGCCCACCGACACGCAGCGGCCACCGCGCACCCAAACGCTTCCATCGAGGAACGTTGCTGCCGTCAGCCGCAAGGGACGCCCACGGTGCTGGCCGGTCGCTTGTGGAAATTCGAATTTCGAATTTCGAACCTGGGCCTGCCTGCCTTTTTCGTGCCTTCTTCTTTTTTTCGCCGCCAACTTTCGAATTCGCAACGGCCGCCCGAGCTGGACCAACGACGTCGGCACGGGCACACCTTGCTGGACCAACCTCCTCCCGCCCCCCGCGTCCGCTTGTCGATATATTAAAGTGGTCGCGGAAGGCCCCGAGGAATCGTCCTCGGGGAACAATTCCAAGGATGAGTGGAACGACGGCGCGAATTTCCTCGGGCGACGATGAAATAATTTCCTCGGGCCCCGAGGATGGCCCGAGGAGTGTCGAACGAGCCCCTTATCCAAATTTTCAATTCCTGACCGCAGATTTCAAAGATCAATGACCAGAAGTGAAGAATCAACTTTCTGGTGGTTTAAACCACTAGTACTTGGCCTAGCTATTGGCCGCGGGAAAGAATAGAGTAGAAACATTTCTAGTCGGATGAATTTGGGCGCTCACGCAGTGGCCCGTACATTTCCTAAAATTGTGGCTCGTTAACGGGCATGACTGTAGGAAGTACTTGTGGTTTAAGATTCGATTCACGTTTTCGTCGTTTAAGGGGTGTAAAATTTTGGGAATCTATGTGAGAGTTCATCTCTCAAGATCTAATGGATTTCTATTACAAAGTCTGGGAGACTGGACAGATGGGCGAGTTTGTTGGACAAGGAATCTTAACTCTCTTATATAAAAAAGAAGATAAATATAATATTTGCAACTACCGACCTATCACTCTTCTCATAGTGGTTTATAAGATGATCTCTAAAGCGTTAACAATCCGCCTAAATAAATTCATCGCTGATATTATTCATCCTTCCCAAACAGGTTTCATTCAAGGAAGGAACATTCAGGATAACATCCTGCTAATCAATGAACTAATAAAACTGTCTAGACAATATAAACATAATGCTGCGTTTATCTTTATAGATTTCGAAAAAGCTTATGATCATGTAGATTGTTTTTTTTTTTATAAATGTCTGGATAAATTTAATTTTGGTCCTAATTTCAGGAGATAGATTAAAATCCTTCATGAAAATGTTACGACAAAAGTGATGTTGAAGGGAAATGTGGCCCCACCAATATCCTTACAACGTTCGGTCAGACAAGGAGATCCCATAGCACCATTACTTTTTGTAATCATCATGGAAGCACTTGCAGTCACGCCATCATAAGGATATCAAGAGAATCAGTGTCACTTCCATCCCTGAGGATGCCATACCGGTTTGTTCTTTATTTGTTGATGACCTATCCCTAATTGTTGATGCTTCTAAAGAAACTCTGGAAGTCATTCAAAGGGTGATGGATGTTTTTTGTAAGCTTGATGACATGAGCGTTAACAGGGGAAATAAAACATTGGGGTGGTGGCTCCACTATCAAGGAGGTAGAGCACCGGATAGACCCAGGATAAAATGGATCCCCCCAGAATCTTCAATTAGAGTCTTGGGGATTTTCCTTTCTGCACAAGGCAAACCAACCACTAACAATGCTCTAATCATGGAACAGACGCTTTCTAAATTGGAATTGTGGAAGGATAAACATACCTCTATATTTGGGAGATCGTTTGCTATTAATAATGTGGTGCTTGCCTCTATTTGGTATAAATCAGTGATATGGGCTTTGGACAAACCCACCATAAAGGCATTCCAACGACAGCTGGTAGCCTTTCTCTGGCGCCGTAACCATGAATGTGAAAACGTGATCAATAAAGGTTATCTATAATCCAACCCAAAGATAAAGGTGGACTAAGGATCATTGATCCCACCACCCAAGTTATGGCACTGTCAATCCAATGGATCAAGCGTCTTCTTTTCAACCCCCAAACCCCATGGAGTAAGCTGGCTTGTGAATAAATCAGGAGACTTGCCCCACCCACTTCTGAAGAGGTGGATCCTCTAATGTGGTTGGAAAATAGATCGTGGACACTCCCCAAAAAACTTTCCTTGGCGGCCCCTTGCATTGAACCTTCAAATCGCCACGCAGCTAGGGAAGACTTAGTAAAAGATCCATTCTGGACGGACTTACTTAAAATATGGAGAAAGCTTCCTCTCCCGGATTAAGTACTACCAGACAGATGGGAAGAGGTATGTCAACAACCTCTGTGTAACAACACTTTGATCAGGGATTTTCAAGGTTGCACCCTTGATTGCTCAATATCGCCTTGGAAAGGATGGATAAAAAAATGAATCACTCGTATAAAAGATATATGGAGTACTGCTGATAAGGACTGGATTAGTCCGCAAATCCTCCATGATAGACTAAAGTATTGTCATTTTCCAGTAGAAGCCATGGATAAGTTAATTGATCTAATACCCCTGGATTGGGTTAGAATTCTTAAAAAATGACCTTACCTCATCCCAAATGACTAGGTTTCTATCTCGTTTCACCCAGGAGTAGTAGGGTCTATAGAGAAAGTTCGTACTTTATGAGATATTCTGATGAACTTATTTGAAGTGGGCGAGGATCGGTTCCTCACACCAAGATCACATCAGCAGACAGGGTGGTTCAAGAAGGATACTCTCTTCCGGATAAGGGTGCTTGTAATAGAAGGAAAATTACTGGCTTATAAACCAGACACCCCCATCTCACATTTTCCCCTTGATCCAATCTGCTAGTCTTGGTCTACACACAAACCTTCAGGACCAGCCCATATCAAGACGCTTCACACTCTTTCGATTAAATCTGTTTATAGGATGTTGAGACCTAAGGTTGGCCTTAAGGAATGCGTTCAGAATCGATGGATGAGACACCTAAAGGTAGGAAGGGAAAAACTACGCTCGGTCAAATGGTTTCAGCTGTCTAAAACAAAACCGGTCAAAATCGCATCCCTCCAATGGCAAATAACTCATAGATGTTTACCTACTAATGACTGGCTTATTGATAGGACTTCACTAGAACAGAAAGGAAAAGCATTCCCCTGGTGCAAGTTTTGTAGATCTTTCTTCCCCTCCAAACTTATCCCAGAAACTATAGAACACATATTCCTGCAATGCCCGAGTTCGGTGTGGTTATGGCGATGGTGGGATAGAATCTGGAGTCATATAGGAACATCTCTCCCTTGGCCATGGAACTGGAAAGCTTTATTACTTGAAGATTGAAATCCGTCGCTGGAGGATACCTTTACTCTGAATTTATTTAAGATCTCTAGAAGACCGGTGATCTGGGCACTATGGGTTCGTAGGTGTACCTATGAGATAGAAGGTGCTCGGCTTGATGATCCTGAATATACAGACACTATCAAATAGCAAATTCAGATTGAAATCACAGTTAGATGGGAAAAAGTGAAGGAAAAGCTAAAATTCTTTTCTCTGCAAAAAAACATCAAACAACACACTCAAACATTCAATCGAGACTGGCTTGGAGGGGAACAAGGAGGGAAGATGGGAAGGGTGGAATGGAAAAGGAGGCAGGAAGATGGGTCAGGGAAAGAGTCGTGGAATTATCGTCTTACTTTTAACGACTGGAGAACTATTGACGCCAGTATTCCAATGAGTCCACCTTCAAGTTTCCCAGATCCCTTCACCGCCTTGGGTATGCCACTGGTTCCAATCTCATGGTACGCGCAGGAAGATGTCTGAGATTATACACTACCTCTTTACTGGTTATGTTCCGTATCGGCTTCTGGAAATAATGGGATGGAATGTTATTTATTCGTGGAAACGGACTCAGGCTGTGAGATACAATTTTCAGTCCAGAAAGATCGCTGACCAGGGTTCTCAGTTGGGAAAGTATCAGAGGATGGGGAAGCTGGAAGTGCTAGATGGTTACGCATATCTGGCGCCCGTTCAGGGTGAAGAGGCACA